AAAAAAAAAAAAAAAAAAAAAAAAAAAAAGAAGCAACTACAGAGAACATCACAACTCTGTCACACTAATATAATAAATATATAGTGCCCCAAAAATCCTTTCTCGACCAAGATTAGTTTTCCCCGAGAGGATTTGAAACAAGATAGAGTGAAATCCCAATTTTATCATCCTTCATGTCGTGGTTTTACCGAGTTGCTCAAGAAGATCCAATTCAACACCTTGATAATGCTACTGGAAAATAAGACAAATCCCATCCAACTTGGGCATTCCATCTTCAAAGTATAAACAACCATTAAAAAAAAGTCTATCACGTGTAGGACTTTCAACTTATTCCAAGCAGCCTCAAATTACTATTTTAAGTCAATAGTCCTCCATGTGAGGAAGATGTCCAAGAGTTTGTGTACAAGACAAACTCAAATCAATACTCCAAAAATTTGGTAGTAATGCTATGCTTAATAGATATTTTTACTAAATATCTATTTAATAAAATACAATAAAATTCAAATTTCAAAACATAAACAAAATAGTTTTTATTTTTTGCCCTTAAAATCTCTTTAAATTTTACTTTAAAATTAATTCAATGACTAATATTAACACCCCAAAATTAATAAGGAAAATAGACCGATAAGAGTGTGTTTGGAGTGACTTTTAAAAGTGCTTCTAGAACTTGTAAACTTCTCATAAATACTTTAAAAAAAATAAGTAATGTTTAGAAACGTCCCACCATCACCACTACCACTACCACCGGCACCCCACTATCACAACTACCCCCTAACACCACCACCACCACCACCATCATTATCGCCACCACCATTGCTGCAAACACCACCACACCCACAACCCCACTAGCACCATCGTTGTCGCCATCCTACCACCACTTTCGCCGCCACCGCCGTTGTCGCCACCCTACCACCACCACCACAACGCCCACCGTCCCACCACCATTACTACCGCCACCCAACCACCACTACCACTGTCGCCACCCCACTACTATCACAACACCCACCGCCGCACCACCACCATCACCACTACCACCACCCCCATCGCCCCACTATCACCACCACTGTCACCACCCTACCCCCAACACCGCCGCCACCCCACCTTCACCCCCACCCTATTGAATTTATGGATTTATTCAAAATATTCCCCATTGCCCCACCGCCACCCCCATCATCATCGCCATCCACCACTAATTATAACCACCGTCGTCTACCGCCAACACCCACCACTATCATCATCTCATTCTTATATCTATTACCACTACCACTATCATCCCACTACCACCGTGCCCACCGTCGGCACCTACAACCACCCAACGGCACCCACTACCACAATGCACAATTACCCGTCTTCGTCCACTATCATCGTCAACCATTGTCTCTCATCCCTACCACCACCAACCATCACCATCATAACCATTCGCCACCACCCATCATACTGTCACCCAGAAACATCTGTCGTCACCCATCACCACCATCGTTATCGCCCACCACCACAATTCACCACCACCACCACTGTCAACTACTATCATCATCGCCCACCCACACCCACTAACACCATCGTCACCCAAAACCCACCACCACCATCACAGTTGCCATCATAACCAAGGTCGTCGCCACCCACCACAACCATCATCATCTTCCACCACCACCACTGTTGCCTACTACCACTACCATCGCCCACCCTAACTACAACCGGTGCATAAATTCTTTTCTATCACCTTTATGTTTGTGATTTGATTTTAGGTATGAATAAAAACATATTTATTCTTGACAATTTTTTTTATTATTACGTGTCTTCAGGCACAGTTAATAACTAGTTTATATAATAAAATACGATACAATTCAAATCTCAAAAGATAAACAAAACAACTTTTACTTTTTTTCAATTGAGATCTCTTTAAATTTTAATTTAAAGTTAATTCGACGGCTAATATTAACACCTCAAATTTAATAAGAAAAATAAGACCTTAATGTTGTATTTGGGGTGACTTTTTAAAAATATTTCTAGAACTTATAACTTCTCATAAATACTTTAAAAAAAAAAGTAATTCTTGAAATCGCCCCACCACCATCAC